CCCCCCCCCCCCCCCTCTACCAGGGTAATGTCACTGACTGAAGTGTCTTTCCGCCATTCCCAAAGGGGGAATATTAACATATTAGCATGTTCTTATGCACAATAGAATTGTAAATGGGCTGATTTATCAATGTCATACTCATACTTTGCTGGAACAGCATAGGGGGAACTGCTGCTTTTTCTTGCCTCATCCTTACCATCGTCAATTTTCCTCAACTTCTTTTGTATGGTTGTCACTCTCTTGTGGACTGCTATTTCCGGGGTGCCTTGACAGTCGAAGCAGACTTTGGGGTGTTGAGGCTAGAGTGATGAGCAGAGTACGTCTGATTCCTCGTTTGGATTTCTCTTTTGACACCCACCCCTTGGCGCTAATATGACCTTGTGCTGTTGCGAGCGCCGTAAAACCTTATTAAAAACCAAAACAAAAACAAAATTGCATCAAAAGGCATGCAATGAAATATTCATGTTTCTAATTTGTGTGTGATAGTTCAAAATGTGTCACAGTATTTTGCCTATGGTGTTTATTTAAAGGACGCATTTGTCCGTAACGTCTTCAAGGATTTAAAAATGCCCCATAAACAGCCCACCCTAGATGAATCAAAAACAATTTTAGATCGGTTTTGACTTTAACTTTTTCATCATCTGTTGCCGTTAAGAGTCTAGGGGAGGTGCAGTTTTCTGTGGTAGGCCAGTTCCGCAGTTCTTTCAGTTGGGATATTATAATTTCTCAGGGCTTCCTTGATTCCCTCAATCTACCTTCTGCGTGGCCTTCCTCTTTCTTTATAGCCTGAGTGCTTGGTGTTTTAGGCTCTCGAGGCTGGCTGGCTAGGTGATATACATAACAGGTAAACCATAATTTTATCATCTGTCTTTCTATGAAATGTCCTCGGTTGTTCCCACAGATAATTTCCATCTTGCTGACGGCTGTGCGCGGTGGACAGGATGAACATTTGACATCAGTGGACATGTTTGATGGGACCAAGATCTTCCCCGGGTCACAGGATGCCAACGTCACCGCTCAACTTGGCACTAAGGTGGCCTCATAGAATTATAATATTCAAATAGACAATAGATTAGACAGGGCACTGTCATGGTCGCCCATAGACTTGAAGTGTAATATCCTAGATGGGGTACTGTCATGGTCGCCCATAGATTTGAAGTGTAATATCCTAGATGGGGTACTGTCATGGTCGCCCATAGATTTGAAGTGTAATATCCTAGATGGGGTACTGTCATGGTCGCCCATAGA